ATAATTACAGAGTATATCCTATTGCCATGAATAGTTGAGCCTATGGAGCCTATGGGTTATACAGATCTGTGGTGATCACCGTATGCAAACTACCATTTTAAACTTTTTTAGATATAACCACGTAGTCACAGTGAACCCTAATTAAGGTTTTGTCCACCCGAACTCTACAATTCACCAGCTAGAAACAGCCACATCGTAATAGATCACATACCAATACACACAGACATTGGTCTATAACAACGTGAACTCCTTATATAGCTATGTAGAATACTTAAAGCACATACCACTCTCGGCAACTGAGTCTCGCCTTCTTCTCCACTCCAACCGTAGCCATAACCACGCACTCGACCGCCTGTATCAAGATGTAAAGAGTATGACCAGCACAGGCGTATCTGCGCCTGTATATGTGTGTTATGACAGTCTCGATTCTTTGAATTGTAACCAGAGTGGATGCTTAAAATATTCTGGTCAAGTTTGGCTTCTGTGCTTGGTTGTGTCACGTTCGTTCTCAATGGCGTTTCGGTAGCTATAACATCGGCAAAAGCCAGCTGCTTGAAGGCATTGAAACCATAGCCATTCACAACAACCATACCCCTTGCAACACGTAGGTTATTTTACGTCGATAGAGTCCTCATATGTTTGAATATCTTAACACCGTGTTAAAAATACACGTTTTCCTGAAATATAGGATACATATATAGTTATGTATAGACGACTTGGCGCCAAAAAAGAACCTTCATGAATGCTACGGAAAACTAGCTGGATGATTGACCGACTGTATCACTGCACATGCTAAAGCTGAGAAATTATATTTTCTCCGTAAATATGCAGCAAAGACAAGACATCCATTTTCGTCGTTTGGTAGAACTCGACATCGGCCGTGTCTTCTTTTTAGATTAAATAAAGTATACAAACCAGTTCGAGGAAAATTTACGTCTACTTCCTTCTCGTTATTTAACATATCTATCATCGGCGACAATTACACAACCACTGTCAAGTCGTACAAAGGTAACAAGTACATAACACTGTAGCACATTTAAAACTCATCATGGGCAGATTGAATGTTGTGGAGCTGAATTTATTCAATGTTTCTCAAATACTTAAGTGGAGATATAGTTTAGATCGTTTGGCTTGTTGTACTGAGCTCTCCAACTCAAGGTTCAGAATCTCACATACTTGCGAAGTCGTCATACCTACTGTGTACTGTGTCGGTTAAAAGAGCTGAATATGAACTAAATGCATTTCTGTCAATACGTATATGTGTGACAAAATAGCGAGCCCTCGTCAGTCCTCACTAAACCCACCCCCTCTGATAAATCTCCAGCGGGCAGCCTGATCAATCACACATCAACAACAATAGTCATCATTCGAAAACAAAACTCTAAAACCCTAGAAGAAGAAAAAATAGAAAAATGAATCTATTACGAAAATAAACTCGTGTACATAAGCCTGGCCTGGGTTTAGACCAATCAAATAGGCCATATTAAGGTTCGAAAAAAATCAATGACGTGGTTGATTGCAACATCGCACAAGCCTCAGCTATTTACTCCGCAGGCAATATATTAAATTTTTAACCCCACCTTAGTGATAGTAAATGTAATAGTATTAGTATGTCGGGTACTGTATACCAATACCGTATCAGGTATCAGCTATACCAGCCACGCCAGTATGTATATGATTTTTTTATTAACAAAATCTATGTATTTTATAAATATCTTTATGCCCAGAATCTATAGAAAACGATATGTAAGTGCACCTCTGATGGCCATAAACTAACCCCTTCTGCTACAGTCGTATTATACCACTCTCTGATACACTGTAGATACGTGGTGTTCTACATACGCTATATATCACAACTCGTAGCTTTCCTACTTAATAATCGTTCTAGAAAGCATTCGCGTCTCTATTCTTACCACATTTAAATAACTGAATGGGTGTGAATGGGTGATTCAAAATACCTACAAAGACCACAGACGTATAAGCTTATCAGTCAGACATACACCATCTATCACCTTAAACATTCGAAAATACACCTTGAAGTTTATTTACAGCTCGTGCACGACTGCATTGTTGGGGGTGGATCATTTAGGGCCTTCGTCGTGTTTGACAGAGTTGCAATTGAGCTGTTGACATTTTTTATGGGCGTAGCGTCCTATTCTCCACTTATATAACAATTGAACGGCACTTTACCACATCAATTCATTTCCCCGAAGGTATCTCCAGACACGTTCAAATCGGTCGTGCGCAATTCACTCAGCTCAAAGAGCCTTTCGCACTACCGATCACACATATTCAGTTTTACGCATACACGAACTCCTTGTGTGTGTGATACATCTGAGCCTCCTAAAGCTTAGGCTAAATTCCATAATGTCACTTCTGTGGTTGATGGAATGCAAAGGTTGCATCAGCCGAAACAACAAAAACAGCTACACATCCCTTCACACAAACTCCATCTACAAGCAGAATTCCAGCACATCGTCGCTGTCCAGTGTTGAGAGTGACCTCCGTAGCTGCATGTCGACTCCGTTGCCAAGCATGAGCATGACCAGCAGCACCACGAGTGTTGGGGAGAGCCTACCTACCAGTTCCACAACTAAGCTGCAGTGCGATATCGAGACCAAGCCCGCCGTGTTTGCCCCCACTCTGGCTGCCAGATCACCACAGTCGCCTACTATCAGTGGGTGCACTGAGGAGGTGGACGATGGGTTCATACTTCTCTGATATAGCTCCCTTTCCGACTGCTGCGATCATTAACTGTGAGGCTTGTGCAATACTTTCGTGTGGAGAGCTTAGCTACATTTATACGAGTCCGTAGTACTATCGTGTGGCGCTGCTGTAGTATGTAGGAGACTGAATAAGTACTTTCGTGTGGGTAAGCTAAACCACTTTCGTGTGACGCGCCATAGTCCTTTCGAGTGGTAATGCCGCGAGATTCTCGTGTCGCGTTACAGCACTTCGATCGTGGAGGGCCGACTCTACTACTTTCGTCTGGAGTGGACGCGATGCTTCCGGATGGTGTTGCCGCGAGACTTTCGTGTGGAACTGAGCTGTTAAACTATGGTGAAGGGTACTCTCGTGTGGGTTTGGTCGGAGGGAGATCTCTGTATTGGAAGTGCTACCACCCGTGAACACATTCTTGTGCATTCATAGTGTGTGTGGGGGTGTTGCTCGAGTTTTGTATTCGCACTTACACGGGGCAGTAGCTGCTTTGCCAGTAGTGCTGGATGCACTCGCCTGTAGTCGGCATTGATATCGTAGGCGTATACACTATAGTCGCGTAGTTTGGTTGCGTCTAATCAAATAGCGGCGAGCGCTTGGAGATACACGAGTACGTCAAAGAGTGTATCTACACTGCCATCGTACTGTCCTGTATTGGCCTGTCTCTTCAAGCCAAGCCTAGCATTGAGCCTGCCTGTGGATTCATATGCGATATGCGTGGCCGGGAACTCCAGTGCGCGCCAGGCTTGGTGGCAGTTGTCATGCCGTATACCACCCACTGTATCACAGCCCAGCTGGGGCTATGGATGTTTGTCTGTGTATCTAGTCTACCTACTTATCTCCTAGCACCCCTCTGCACAGTTGGTACAGGTGTTTGAATAGACAACTGTTTTGTTGTCGACACAAGGTGCATATTGGGGTCCGGTGTATGTTGTTGGTGGTCTTTCGTGTCGTCCGTTGGCTTTGGTAGTGTGCTATACCACGAGTTTACAGACGCAGGTGACAGGGGCGGTACACCTTGAGACGTTGGGCAAGTGGTGCCAATCCTGACGGTGAACAGGGACAAAACACGTGTTAATGTGCCAGAGCATGAATCACACATATACTAAACCAAATACTAATAAATTGAATTGTTATATCCACGTTGTCTAGAATATTATTGCCCGACTAGCCAAGGTCGACTGATGTCGTTCTCTACTCTTTTGCCTACACCTAATAACCACTACCACATACGCGTGTTCAAATGCCACGATATGTTGTATACAGGCGAATGTGCACATCATAGTGATACGTCAAGGTTGATTGGCTCTGAAGCCACTTACATTTAATCGTCGACGTAAACCCTCACAGGACAGCCGAGTGTGTGTCAGTCAACGAAGCAGCCGTTTGATGTTTGTCGTCCTTGACAAAATCAGAGCAGTTGTCAATTGCATCGCGAGGAGATGTCTTGTATTTCATCAAAAACCCTGCACAAAACGAATACCAAAGTGCCCACTCAGCATATGCGTACAAGTTTATCTGTAGGTATCGGTGTTGTTGGTTCCATCAATGTGTTAGGATGGCTCAAATGTGGTCTCAATGTGGCACATGTTTCGATCAAGCGCCACAGGGCCACCTCGGCATCTTCGTGTACGGTTTCGAACGATTTTTCCCTCACCAAGATAGACTCATGATACGCTCGTAGGACTACACGCTGTTTATTATTGGACACGTGCCAACCAACATTTGTACGTATATTCACTACATGGAATGAGCGCGTACATGTATATACACGCCTGGTGTGAAAATGGACTCACGAATCAGTGCATACGTAAAATCACGTTTATGAGTCGTAGAGGTCCTAATATTGATCTGTTTTCAAATCAGTATTATAAATGGACATTTATGTTTTGCTTCTACGCAACGTCGGTGCCGCCGGAACAAGAAACAAGAAGCACATATACATTACTCGACACACGTGGGAACAATCAGCAAAGAAATATTCATCGATATAAGAACACGTCTATATATTTACGTGATTGCTATGTAAATCTGGTAATACACACCCTGAATAAGAGCATACACACCCTGAATAAGAGCCATGGGAAGGTGTTGGTTCATGCAGTCGCCTTGGCACACATTCGCAGCCCACTCCGAGTCCCCAACACTGGGTGAGAGAACGTGTTCGCCAAACCAAGGCTCAACCGACAATGTATCTGTGTGTCATGAACAGGATACGCGTAAGCTTGTGTATATTTGATGAGTGAAGCTGGCAAGTGTACTAGAATGTGCTGCTATGTTGGCAAGTGGCGTATAAGGTGGTTAAGAACCTACTAGCACAAGCGTTAGAATAAAATACAGACTGATATATTTTGTTCAAGTAATAAAGATTTACTCTGGCGAAGCGCCTAATCATATTTCCTGACAAAAGATCGTATTGTGCTATTAACAGAATAATTTGCTTTTGTCAAGGGACACAAACTCCAATATTTTATATCACACCCTAACAGGTACCGAACATTGTTGAATGAACGTGACCTGAACAACCAAAATAGGATGAACATGTGTGCTATTGATTCAGGTACATTTGTATTCAATTTACAACTAAATATCACGGTAGATTATCGTGAGATTATAGCAAACGCACGCAGTTTATACAATTCACGTACCCAATGTTTGTGTAAGTGCGTTTTTAGGGTTTAAGGTTTTATAGTTTATACAGTGCAATCATGGTTGACAATTTACAGACTGGTAACGACCTACATGTGCACATCTTGCCATTAATCACTGCCAAGTCATCTATAATTCAAAGAATCGGAAGAAAAATAAACAGTTGTTTTTATGACCCAGTCAATATATATATATATTAATATATTCAGCGTTGTGCTTACCCCATTTACACCGGTTTTTCGGACACTCATTCGGCCCCAAAGTTAAAATCGCAGCCATCACACCCCGCACAAACTCACGCGCCATATTCTGAACACCTTCCTGTCCGCTGTAGAAGTTCTCGAACATCCGGTACATCATACTTGGTGTTGCATATGGTAGGTAGCAGCGCAGATCTATGCGCCCAGGCCTAATAAGGGCAGGTGCCAGCTTCTCCGGGTTATTGGTCGTCAGAATGAGAAGCCGCCCTTCCTATAAATATAAAATGAAGTGTGGATATATTGAAGTGGCAATATTGGTGAACTTTAGATTGAATTTACGATCTTAGGTATGTCATGTTAGCAATGTGGGTTTGCACATACGACCGTAACTACCTGGTACAATAAGAATACTTTCCTACAGAATACCCGATTGGCGTGGAGTGATTCTCGTATAATTTTGGACCAACTAACCCACGCTACACTTAAGTAAACCGTATCATCTACTGATTCAGCACCACATCCACGAGCACGATACGCATACATGTTAAACGGGAAAAAGATTCTCACAGCCGAATATGCATTGGATTGTATTTCGATACATCACTCTCAATGAAAGAGAGCTTCGCATGATTGTTTGTATAAAAATTTATATCGGTATTCAACTGTCACAGTGAGCATATAGATACTGACGAGAATAAATAATTGAGAGTCCACCTCTTTAATTTGTGATATGTTGTGGTGTTCTATTCCTATATCGATGATGGCGAGTACGGACTGTACGTTGTGACTGTATTGTACCTACTCATCTTCTATCTATATACACACCTTACCTCCGATAGTGAGGCTCACGGAACTACCAAGGTATGACATCCGAACCCAGTGACACCCACAAGCTCCTCTCCAACACAAAAACACAATACCAAGCACGCTTAATCACATCAACGCGCACACCTGTGCTGCAACACCGTCAATAGCGTTAAGCAGGCCACTGAAGGTCACGCTTGAGCTCTTGACATTGGTGGACTCATCGGTACTTCCGTCGGCGGCTGCGTTGAAGGCGTGGTCCACGTCTTCTAATAATAGAATACACCTATCAGGTGCGGATCCGCACAGGAGGTCGCTGAGAAGCTCATCAGTCAGAGATGGGGCTGAGATGTTGACCACGTAGATGTTCAGGTCCAATGCTCCAGCCAGTGCCATGACTATGGACGATTTTCCGTTCCCAGGCGGCCCGTACAGCAGGTAGCTGTTTTAAGATATGATTTGAATAGATGTCCGCGAGGTGATGAGTGATAACCGCGTTTCATATTGTGAATATAGTGGAGAGAGATATAGGTTCTGTATACTACAGCAGCCTGACGGTTTATGGGGCGATGCAACAGTGACACATATGTACATGCGGCTATACACATGCGCACAAATAACAAGAAAAAATACAATATATATATATATATACCGTATACACCTATGTAGTGTGTACAAACCACGAAGTATCACAATATACATTTACAACCCCACTACACACCCTCTCCTGTACGGGATACCCCTGTCTCTGTACCACTCCTCGCTGTGCATGAATTCGCGTGCATCCTGATACAGACCGTCAGCCAAACCTCTCGCCAGAAGTACCGAACTGAGTGGCCGTTTGGCGCGCGTGGCTACCCTGTTCCACGAACCATATTGGTCACCCAGAAACACAGCTGTCTTGCCTTGAGACTTAGTCTGTGTATAAGGAGATAAAAAAAACAATTTTTTGAATCTCGTGGGTTGTGTTACGGACCGTACTGTGCTCACACAGAGACGACTGTCATCCCATGTGAATGAGCCTGTGTATGAGAAACTGGATGCACCTCTTGAAAGTCAATAGTATTTGTGTTATTATATGAGCCGTACAAATAACGTTAGTGCACGGTTGTTTTTGTCATGACTTGGTCTTGGTATCATTTACTGTGGTGCCACGAACTGTACTGTATCTCGAACGGGTTATCGTCTTGCGAGGTTGGATCGTGTATTAACATCGGCCATGAACAAAAGGATATCAATACAAGAACACATATACATGCACACATTCATGTACCACATATACATCTGTACAAAGAGTAATGTGGGTAGTCTACGAACATCCCATTGGTGATTCGAGAATAAAAGGCTGAAATACCTGTGCCTGTGTGCGCGCTTCCTCCACAAGCTGCTCGATTATCGAGCGTGATGTTCCCTGAAGTTGACAATAACATTGCAGAAAAGCGATATGACTAAATTCAAAACTTGGTCCACCGACACATCGATCAAAAATGGGACAACCAATCAATGCTGCAGAACTATGGCATGCGATTGCCAAACTCAGAACCTGAATTAACAGCACACAAGTGATGACCGGCAGATGCTTCAATGGTATATGAATGGGTCATGATGTATCACTTCCACACGAAAGTTCGTGACTTGGACAAGATAAGCGAGAAACTCGAATTATCCCCTCGGATAGGTTTCAGGTATTCTATGAATGCCCCCATGAATTCACTTATCTGTGAGAACAGACGTTTTTTGGGGACTCCATGTGGACAATATATATATATATTCCTGTATTTACAGCCTTGTGTAGTATGGGAAAATGAGCATCCGAATCTATAACGCGCGTATACGTAGGTGACAAGGTGTGTATCTACGCATCTGTCTACTTCTTGCTTGAACGTGCGTGGCTGTTGGTAGCATGTGCGAAGGTGCATCTGAAGCCTTTGAACTTACGCAACTACTGAGCAACCACCCGTGTTGTTCTGCATACCATTATCCGCAAAGTGATGCTGCTCTGTCTAGTCCCGCTGGTATTGACAGCGACGTCTGACCTATTGACAAGCAGCAGTCTGCCCTTGTAGGTAAGCACGTGTAGACCTGAAAACACAAGCACGACGACAGCGATATTGATCAAATTTGACTCTATGTTAGGTGTATATGAAATATTCAAGGTATGGAATACTGGTACCAGCTGGGTCTCCAATATATTAGATATATACGCACGCGATCAAATATACGCGTATGTTGCATTATTTAG